TATGCTATGCTATGCTATGCTATGCTATGCTATGCTATGCTATGCTATGCTGGTACTCATTATAGTCCCATTATCTTTCACTAATTTGAGAGGTGAAGGTTTAGTATGTGATAATAACATGATGACCTCATGGTGATCAGAAAATCCATCACTGTCCTAAGACAATGACTCCGTTGTTTCTCTCTGTTGCAGGGGATTTTGGTTATGTTGATGATCTTCAGCATTGCTGAACTGTTCATTTCCCTCTTTTCCTCAGTTGTGGGATGCTACTCAGAAGAATGTGAGGCATGCTGTTGAATAGCAACTGTACAAGTAAAAACACAAAATGATACAACACAGAAGCCAGTCCTGCTTTTGAGAAAGACCCAACACATGTACAGACTTACAGATCACAATTATTTGAAACAATATGGGTTGGGAGTGATTGATAGGGGACCATTTTGGCTCATGAAACACATTCTGCTCCCTGATAATGGCATTTCCTCCTCCAATAGAATGACTACCTTGGTGTAATCACCCCCTCTTGCTCATTGCGGCATGGCCACTTTATAAGCAAAGATAGGAACCAAAGCTCAGACTCAAGGGTGACCAAGTTATTTGACTTTGCTACTGGTGACAGTCTCCTGATGAGTCCCCTAAGAGGCTCCACACAAGGGCTCCTTGTGAAGCAGGAAGGTGAATTGGAAAGAAAAATGGGTTGGTCAGTAAACTGTGCCTTGAAGTCACAAGATCGTCAAATGTTATGAGCCAGATAGCTACAAAAGTAACTGTACTGTTAGTGGTTGGTTTTTAATTTTTAACTCAGCACTAACTAGAGTTGCCCGGGAAGAGGAATTGCCCATATATGTTTGTGGAACACTGTAATGCCTGATGTGGGAGGGTTCATGTCACTGTGGGTAGTGTCATCCCCAAGCAGGTGGGGGTGCTATATAAAAAAAGTTAGCTGGTTATATGGATGCCTTAGTTTGGGTTTCATTTGCTGTGTAGAGACACCACGACCATGTCAACTCTTATAAAGAAAAACATTTCACTGGGGCTGGCTTATGATTACAGAGGTTTAACGGTCCATTATCATGGTGGGAAGCATGGCAGAATGAGCTGAGAGTTTTACTTTTGGATTCATAAGCAGCAAGAAGAAAGATTGAGACATGCTTCCTCCAAAAAGGCGACACATACTCCAACAAGGCCCCACCTCCTAATAGTGCCACTCCTTATGGGTCTACAGGGCCATTTTTATTCAAATTATCACAGTGGGTAACAGACCAGAGTAACCAGCATCCTTTCATGGTTTCTGTTCCAGATTACTGCTTTGAGTCTCTGACCTGACTTTCCTTAGTGATGAACTGTTATCTAAAAGTATAACTCCTTTTGTCCCCTAAATTTCTTTTGGCCGTAGTATTTACCATAGCAACAGAAGCAAATTAGAGTAAATACTCAAATCAATAATCAATGGTGGCAAATATTGGTGAAGTCACTATGTCTCAGACTTTGTGCCAAATGATACAGCTGCTGCATATTTGACCTCACAAAAATACTAGGGGCAAAATTTATTGTTATATCCAAACAAGGAAGCTGATATGAAAAAAGGGTAAGATTTGTTCAAGGTCACAAAGCTTGTAGTGATAGGTCCATAGCAACAGATTGTCTGGCTGTTCCACAGCCTGAGAGGTCTCACTCCTTATCTAACAACATCTATCTCCCAAGCTCTTTTGAGTCTCTGAACTAACCCCTTTATACCCTTCAAAATTAAGAGTCATTACATGACAACAGAAATAATGTTTCCCCCAAAACAAACTATATTTTCTAGAGTAGCATAGAGAATGGCACTGGTTTTATTTCCAAAACCATTTAATGAAATGGGTCACTGACTTGGTTGCACATTCACATCATCTGAGAAACTTCCAGGATCCCCAGTGTACCACAGGCACACATCAATTACATCAGAGTGTGGTGGGAGCCATGCACTTGATCAGTTTTCAGAGAGAGATTCATGGGGGGGGGGTGATTCCATTACATAGGATGTCTGGAAGAGACTGGTTTAAGACAGCATCATGGGAAATGGGAGCAATTAAATACTTTGGAAAACTCTTGCCTATAGTCAGTCTGTCATGTCTCATGCTCTATAACTTGTGCAACACACATTAAAAAAAAAGTATATAGTAAAAAAGCTAAATAAGATCTTAATGTAGGAACTGGAAAGATGGCTCAAGTTAAGATTATTTCCTGTTTTTTCTATAGTTTGGTTTCCAGCACTCACACTGGACAGAATACAATTACCTCTAAAATCAGTGTCAGGGTCTCTTACATCCTCTTCAGGCTCCCATGAGCACCTGCATGGTTGTGGTGCATATATGCCCATGCAGGTCCCTGTGTTGTATTGAAAACACTTCTGCACTCATGGATCCCAAAAAGGGTCTGAGGACCTCAGAAGCTTTCCAGTCCTGACTCTGAGAACCACTACGTTGTACTGCATTGCGCTGGCTAGAGCTAAGCACTGAAGCACTCCCTGTGTCATTTCAACTGTTATGGCTGCCCATTGAGGGAGGTGTGCCTTCAGTCACAGACATGAAAATGAAACCCAAAGCAGCCAACTTTTCTAAGAGCACAAAGGGTATCTCATTTAAAAACAGGATTTGAATTAAGATCACTACAAGCAAGTCTCATATTTTACACTGCCTTGGGAGTGTAAACTTGAGCCAAATCAGCAAAGACAACTTAAGTCGATCATATAAACTGAATTCAAGATAGTTTGAGAGGGATTTCCATTGAGCCAAAGTCAAGCAGCTAGAAAGACTAGAACAGCCTAAGACAAGAGGAGAATGGGTCTTGGATATGAAGATCAGGTTATATATCTCTGAGTCAGAACTCTCAAAGGCCATACATTTGCCATACTGCTCCCACATGCAGTACACTGAAAGTTACATATTTCCAGCCAACCCACCATGCCTGGATATAAGTCTCATCTATAGTCTGGGCCTGGACAGGTCTTGTTTGGATACACTTTTAAAGATCTTAGATTAGAAAAGTTAATTCCCAGTGTGACAATGCTGAGAAGTGGGTCTTAAGTGGTGATTGGTCATAGGACTCTGCCCCGTGTCCACGGTTACCATGACAACTAACGAATACCCATCCCCAATTCCCTCCATGATTGTGTGTTCTCTTGCCAGTCTGCCTGGGACATCAAAGCATGAAAACCCTGGACATCCCAGACTCCTAAACCTTAACAAATAAGTCTCTGTTAATTATAAATTTATAAAAGTCTTAAGATATTTTACTGAGGCAGCTAAAACAGACTCTGACATTATGTCATCATAACCAACACATTGCAACAGATACAAAAAGAATCTCAAATAGGATCTCAAATGGATGGTGGGCCTGCCCTTTTCACTCCCCTCCTCACTACAGCATTCCTACAGGAGACTGAGAGTCTGTGACCTAAGTTTCTAATAACTTCAGCAACTTCAGAATTTTTGTTTATGTTGCACCAAAACCAGCCTCTCCAGAAATACTTCTGCTCAGTGGTCATAACCATATGACTCTAAAGCATCTTAAATGACAGAGAGAGCAGGAAAAAAGAGGAGGGAGAGGGGTAAATAGCCTCATATTAGTTAGTATAGTTACTGTGTTTCAACCTTTAGGTAAAATGGAGAAAGTGCCCATTTGAGTGAGTTAACTCAGACCCAAAACGGACATGCATAGTTATGTACTTACTAGTAAGTGGATATTAGCCAAAAATGTACAGAATACCCAGGATACAATCCACAGAACTCAAGAGGTTAACAAGTCGAAGGGCCCAAGTGATGATGCTTCAATCCCACTTAGGATTGAAGAAGAAAGCAATCATTGGGTCTGGGGAGGGAAGGGGGAGGGAGGGATCTGGGTGGCAGGAGGAGGGGGAAAGAGGAACATGATCAAGTATTGGCGGGGAGAAGCCCTGAAGACTAGTAGAATGAATAGAAATATGCAACTGGGGCGTGGGGGGAACCCTCTAGAATGTACCAAAAACCTGGGAGGTTAGAGACTCTCAGGACTCAAAGGGAGGGACCTTAGATGAAATGCCCTACAGTGGGGAGAGGGAACTTATAGAGTTCACCTCTATTAGAAAGACAGGGCATCAAGTGGAGGGATGGGGTTGCCATCCCACAGTCAAAACCTCTGACCCAGAATTGTCCCTGTCTAAAAGAACTGCAGGGACAAAAAATGGAGAAGAGACTGAGGAAAAGGAGGTCCAGTGACTGGCCCAACTTGGAATTCATCTCAAGGGGAGGTTCCAAGGCCTGACACTATTACTAAGGGTGTGCTTAGACAAACAGGAGCCTAGCATGGCTGCCCTCTGAGGGGCCCAACAAGCAGCTGACTGAGACAGAAGCAGATACACCCAACCAAGGGGCTAAAGTCAGGGGCCCCTGTGGTTGAATTAGGGAAAGGCTGAAAGAAGCTGAGGAGGAGGGTGACCCCATAGGAAGACAAGCAGTCTCAACTAACCCAGACCCCTGAGATCTCTTAGACATTGAGCCACCAACCAGGCCGCATGCACTAGCTAGTACAAGGCCCCTGACACATATACAGCGGATAACTGCCTGGTCTGGCCTCCGTGAGAGAAGACTCGCCTAACCCTCGAGAGACTTGAGGCCCCAGGGAGTGGGGAGGCCTGGGAGGACCTGGGGAAGTACACCATACTCTTGGAGACAGGGGGAGGAAGAATGAGATATTGAACTGTGGGAGGGTGGGCATGGAGGGGTTAGTGACCGAACTGTAAAAAAATAAATAATAAAACAAAACAAAAACATTTTTAAACCAAAAAAACTCAATAAAAAGTCTAACATGAGGTTGCATATGGAAGAGAGGGTAATAGTCTTGAGAAAAATCTAATATTTGCCTCCAAAATGTTTATAGACTTGCCCCACGTCACCAACTTCTTCCACATCCCTACTTGCTCTAACACTGAAGTCAGCTCTATGCACTACTGCAAAGAGAGGGAAGCAGGAAGGAGAAGGGTAGGCTCATGTGTACAAGTGCTGTCTCGGTTCATAGCACCCGAAATGGGAGCTGAGTCTTGCCTCACACTTCTGGGTGCATGTTCCATGGAAACAAATTAGATTTCAGGCCATTTCTGCTAAATTTGACATAAAATTTACATGGCCCTCTAGAGCTTTGAGTATGAGCAAATGATGGTACTGTTTAAAAACCAACAAGCACAACACTCCCAAGTGTACTTGATCAGGGATTCTGAATCTTCGCATGGGTGCCTCCCCCACCTACTCAGCCCCAAAAGTGAAGTATGAAGGTAAGGTCAGTCCCTAGCAGCCCATCTCTGGAGAATTTCTAGCCCTCTTCCAGCCCTTAGGGACCCACCATCCACACCTGCTTACAGGGTGGAGGCTGCAGAAGTTCTTCTAATTAAGGTAGCATGAAGCACACCAGGCAGTCCCCAGGGTAATTTTTAAGAAGTGAAACCTCCTGGTAAGGCAGAAACTTTTTTGTATATCCTTTATATCAAAGCAAAGTGATTGGAGCAAATCTCAAGGTAGCAGAGGCTAATTTCCTGTCACCTGGTGTCAATCAGAGGTACCACTCCGGGCCTGGTCTATCTCACTCATCTTCAATTACTTGAGATAGAAGAGGCCAGCTGATCTCAGCATCAAGCAGCTAAATTGGCCCTTGAACCTTGACGCCTTGGAGAGGCAGGTAAGGATTGAGTTTGCTCTGTTTTAGTGACTCTGATATAAAGAAAAGCCAGTTGAAAACAAGAGAGGTTTTTAGAGACTGGAGAGTCAGCTTTCAGTCTGGGGTGTCCCTGGGAGACTTTCAAATGACAGCATAATTTAAAATGTGGTGATTTCAATGCTGCATGTGTCAACCCCCTCCTAACTGCTCCCCCTCTCAAAAATGACTCTGGGCAATGGGTGGTGAACGGATTCTAACATGGAGATAAGGTCTCCAGAATGTTGTGTTCAGCCTGGGGCTCTACTACATAGAGGCTGCATAACCTTGGGTAAGTTACTAAACTCCATGCCTCAATCTCCTCATCCATAAAATGGAAGCAATAAGCGAGGTTTTCTACATCGTGAAAATTAAACGTAAAGATTCTTCTTTTTAGGACTGCCTGAGACCAAATTAGATAATAACCCTGGCCACAAGAATCTAACTCCATTTCTCTTGCTTCAGCTGAGTTTATCTCCAAAGATAAAACTTCAATGTAAGCACCATCATTGACGGTATTAAACCTTACTATCTAGCATTTTCTACATGGCATTGGGATACTGAGCACAAATCCTATTTTCTGTCTATAATCTAAGAAGCCAAGGGTGAGAGTGGGTCCTGGAGATAGGATAGAGGGATTGACTTTAACCAAGTACTAAGGCACTCCTGAAACTAAACAATAAAATAAGTGTGTCTGTGGGGGCGAAGTGGGTAGAGAGAGACAGAGACAGCAAACAGACACAGAGACAGACTTTTCCTGTTTTCCTTATAATGGTTTTGTTTCACCGATGATCAGGTGGAGTGGAGGTTATCATTTTGTGAATAGAAAGCATCCTGAGCATCTACCTGCCATAAGAGAAACCAGAGCTTGATGGTCTGAGATAGAGTTCACAGCATCCCAGGAAGCAGGCTCACCATACAGTTCCCTTACTGGATTGGCACTGTTTCAGGAGTTACATGTCACACTAAACTAAAAGCAGTCATAGAAAAGTAATAAACATGAACTGCTGTTGACTTTGAAGTTCTTACCATGGCCAAGGAATAGCCTAAGGTAACGTGATGGTCCTTTTGTGGAGGAATAGCC